GATCTGGGGGTACCCCAGGGTGCCACAGCACCTCGATTGAAAGTCACTGATTCGGATCCTGTAAAACTGACTTGGCAGGAGTTGTGCTTACTCATGCCTTTAATGCAGCATTTCTCGACTTGTGGGTCATGACCCAAAAATGGGTCGCAAGAGTACATGCAAGGGTCGCAAAGAAACTTTAAAAAATGGATCAACACACTTAAAAAATGGATTCTCCTTTAAAGGAGAAAAACATGGGAAAAACTGGGTTTCCCCTTTCAGGCTACCGGAATTCCAGCCTGCAAAGGGCTGCTTAGGGTTGGGGGGAGTGGGAGGAAGGCAATCAGGCAGGGGTCGGGACTGGCCATTGATGTTTACAAATGGGTTCTGGTATAAAAAAGGTTCAGAACCACTACTTTGATACTATGTATCAGAATGCTGCTTCAGGTATCAGCAGTATCCTCAAGGAAATGTAAGCAAAAAGTTTGGTCCAAACAAACTTTCAAAAATATAAACTGGGGGACAGGAGAACCGTTTGTAGCAAATACTGACCTCTCTGCAATGATAAATCGTGGCAGAACATGGCAGAATTTTGCCATATAGTTAAGGGAAAACTATATGTAAGTGAATGTTGTGATCGTGAACATTGTTAGATTGACAGTCCAGGAGACTGGGTTATTCACATAACAATTATAGGGAATATTTGCTCTTTTTCAGCTGACCTTGTAACTGATATGTGCACACAATTGTGTCAAAGTGACCCATGGATAAAGATGTAAGCTTTCCTGTCTTTTCCATGGAGGAACCACTTTGGCTCAGGGAAAAGGCAGAAACTTCTATTCTGTTTAGTATTGCATCCAGTATTAGTAACAAAAGTATTCATTGTGGTTGAGAGTTCTTTGGGGACATTTTTGATGATATAGATACCCAACTGATAATTGTGATGGTACCACCAACTCATTTCATATGGGCTACTGAATAGCTCTCAGTTAGTAAAGACAGTCATGAGAATCTCTAAAAAGCAAACTGCTGTCTTAGCTGGAGAGGAAAGATTCCATTAAAGCTCCTAAACCACCTAATTATATAATTTTAAGGTATCTTTTCTTAGACAGCATGTTTGATTTTTAGCTCCAGTTCAAGCTTTTATCGTCTTCATATTGTACACTGATGAATGCCTAGTGTAAATAAAGATTTTCTAGACTCTAGCTAGAAATGGCAAATTTGACTTCTGTCCCTGTCATGTTTAGGACCAGTGTGACATTAGCTGTTGATTTTTAAAAAAACCCCCTGAAAGTACATTTAAATGATCAATACATCATCTTTTTTGAAATGCATGATAATTTCAGTTAGTTTAATTTAGAGAAATTACATGAACGTTATTTAAGGTAGCTTCTATGCTGAGGGCTTGAACTAACTCACATTCAGGTTAGTGAACAGACTTGCACTGACTTCAGCTGATCTGCCCATGAATAGGTTTTACGAATAACAGGCTGCTAATATTAAAGCCAGCGTATTATACACAATGGATCAAATCCTACACTTCTCACGGGGGAAAGAGAGGGAATCTCCCTTTGAAGTAGATGGATATTTTATCCAATTGTGACTCTGATCCTGCTGGGCTTACTCTTCTGAGAAGCCCCATTGAGCTGAGTGGGACTATGCACATGAGTAAGGCATAGCTGCAGAGCAGATTCTTTATATTTTTGCTATAAATCTATGGCCACAATCTTGTGCTGCCACAGGAGCAGCCATAAAGCCAAATTGTGATTTGAAACATCACCATTTCCTTCCTGGCTCCCTCCTGTTTTACTTATATTTTGCTTATAGTGCAATGTACTTTAGCAGTGTACTTTCCTATACATTATCGGGTTAGGGGGACATTTTCCGTTTTCTCTCCATCTCAGTAAAATGGAGCTGAGGATGTAGTATTCCTGGCAGAGGCTGTTCTTGCCTCCGTGCAAGAACAGCTGTCACACAGCTGTAAGAAGCGTCTTACACCCACATACTTCCTGCTATGGATGTGCAGGATAGGCCAGAATCTGGCCCTAGAATAAGGCCGGCAGTCTTTGGTCTACATCCTAAGCACAGCTGCTAGCATTATGCAAAAAAAGATTTATTATTCAAGGATATTTTGCCTTGGATTGGTTAGATTTTTTTTTAAGAAAGGTTGTCTTAACATATGAACTGACTGAAAGATAGTGAGAGAAAAAAACATATCTTCTACCTGTCAGTGTCAATGAAGAGTTAATATTGTGCTCTTATGTTCAGTACTACAACAGGCTGGGGGAAATCCATCTCAGAAGACAGTTAATAAATACTGGACTCCCCAGACAACTGCACTGAATTTTGATGATTTTTGTATTATCTTAAAAAAAGAAAAACCAGCTACAAAAACAGATCTGCTCCAAGCATTCTTAAAATTAGATAAAAATAATGATGGATCTATTTTGCACGCAGAACTTCATAAAATTCTTACAACAGTAAGTATCATTGAAAACAATTACAGATTTTGTCTACTTTTTCACAGAGGTCCTATTTGTAGAAAATTGGTGTAGTGAAGCTAAACTTTAACAAATCACAGGAACAATCTTGAATATTAAAAAAATTGTTTTGGAAGAACCAAAAAAGTCAATATCTGAATATTTTTTTTAATGATTTCACTTTTACATTTAAATCCTGGCTTCCAGGGCCTTTCCCTTCTTGTGTTTTCTTTACAGTCATACATTTGGGAGGTCCAAGAGCTTCTCTAAACTCCCATCCTGGGTGATGGGCATCAGTTGAAAAATATGATTTTTTTTTTTTTATTTTTATTTATTTATTTTTTTTAGAAAACACTTTATGCTCCTTCTCCCCTGTTCTGATGTAAGGCAGTAGGACTCAGCCTTCACTGACTTCACTGCTTAGTTCTTTGTCCCTACAAATCCCCTCCTTTTGTTAGGGCCCATATGGGGTTGTTTCATTAACTCTGTGGATAAACCTGTTTATTTGCTACCCTCCCTTTTTGTCTTTTCTCTCATTTATTCCTGTCAAAAAAATTATTTTCCCCTCTCCCCTATTTGTTGTCAGGGAACTGGGTAGGGGTGGAGGAATCTGCCCATTGCTGGTGGAGTCTCTGGCTGAGCCAGGCTCCCTGCACAGCCACTTGCCACAGCTCCCAGCTGGAGTGGTCCAACTCTCAGCTGAGGCAGGTAGGATAGGGGGAGTCCCAGCATTGCACCTGATTTGCTTCTGCCCCTGCCTCAGGAAACAGCTGTGGTAGCCCACAGATTCTTCCTTCCAACCTGCTCCCAGCCATTGGGGTGGGAGGGGAACCTATGTGCTGCACCCACTGTTCCTGTCTGAGCTGGGGTCCCTGTACAGCTGCTCCCTGCATTGTGGGGCAGGATAGGGTCAGGAGTGACTTTGGGGCTCCTCCTGAGCCTGGATCAGCAGCGGAAAGCAGTAGAAGGGACAGGTGGAGGGGAGGTAGGTGGAGGGGGGGCAGGCACTGGGGGGCAAGGGGTGGGGTCAGGCTGCCAGCTGCCTGCTCCCCATGCCACATGCCCCCCACCTCTGCTTTCCCCACTGCTTGCTGACCTCCCACTGCTTTCTCCTACCTGTCCCCCCCACTCTTGCTTTTCTCCTTCTTACCCCCTTGCCCCTGCTTTCCCCATGTTTACCCTCAGCCTTTACCCCATTTCTGCTTTACTGTGTCCCCTGCTTTACCCCCACTCCTGCTTTTCCCCACCTCTTCTTTCCCCACCACTTGGCCCCCCATCTCTGTTTCCACTTTCCCCTGCTCCCCCCAGTCTGTCACCCTGCCACTGCTTTTCTGCTGCAGTGGTGGTGGTGGTGGGGAATTTAAGATGATCCTCTAACAATTACATTCAAAACATAAAAAAGTATTTAAAACTTTGCAAATTATAAAAAATTTATAATTAGGCTTGGTGCTGAGCCCTGTCTCTGCTTTTACTTAGGTGGCACTTGACTGCTGGAGGGGCCATATTCCAATAAGCATAACTAATTTCCATATCAAATTCCCAAGGGCTTGTTTTTTTGTGTGTACAATGAACACAAATGCAACATTGTAAAATGCCATCATCTTAGTACAAAACACATTGTGGGTATAATTTAAACAGCTGCCCGGAAGGATTTTGATAAATATTGTCCAGATGTGGTCATTCTAGCAAAAAAGTGACAAAGCAAAAGGATTTAAAGCTATTTTATTAATGTGAGCAGGAGCAAAAGAAAATTAAATTAGGTGAGCAAACAAGCCCATATGGTAGTGCCAACCACAACAAAATTAGGATCAGATGTTGACTTTAGTTCCAGTTTCAAGATCCCTAACCAGAAGGCGTTCTTTGAGTACAAATCGTGATCATAACAAAATGAAAAGTTGGAATAAGTATTGAATGTAGCTATAGCCACCAGGGCTGTGCGAAATTTCACCGACCATTTTATTTCAACACTTTTGACTCATTCTGAGGTCGAAATGGCAAAATTGAAATGAAACTAAGGGCTGCAAAACAGCCCCGAAACAAAACAAAGCTAGTCGAAACATTTCGACCATAGTGCTGGGGATGGGAAGTCAGTCCAGCTGGGCTGACTTCCCGTCCTCGGTGCAAGATTGGGCTGGGGATGGGAAGTCAGCCTATCCCCAGCCCAATCTAGCACGGGGGGATGGGCTGGGGAAACTCAGCCCAGCTAAATTAAGTTCCTTTCCCCAGGGCTGCCCGAAGGTGGGGCTGGGGTTGAGAACTCAGCCCAGCTGGGCTGAATTCCTTTCCCCAGCACGATGGTCAGGCGAAGTGTCAAGGCAGCGTCAGAACAGCCCCACTGTTTCGATGAAGCAGAACAGTGAGGTTGTTTCAACTGAAAGTGAAATTCGATACAAAACACTGTTCTGTCCAGACCTCGAAACTGAAGTAGGAACGGAGCAGTGCTGTTTCATTCAGCCCGAATAGCCACACCATGAAATGTGTGAAAGAGCTGTTGCTGCAATTTAAAAATTTTAAGTTAGAATGAATCCATTATTTTGTGAGGACACAGTATAAAGAACTTGGTGTGGATATAGCTGCCCAATAAATGAGCAAAACGTTAGATATTTTGAAATTAGCCCATTGCTGCTAGTATATTAGTGTAAATATTAATTTACTTGAGGGGCTTGTAGTAAGGGATCTTGAGGTTGAATAAATTCTTTTGCTGAGCATTTAATAGTGCTTGAAGAAGTCAAATAACTTTTGCAGTGTTGATCATTACTTTGGGGATTCAAACTAAAATTTATTTCTGTGTGCCATAGATAAGATTTCTGGAAAGAATGCAGAAGTATTTACTATCTTTATAATAATCACTAAACCAGATATAGGAGTAAAAAAGTCTGTTAGGAACTGAAATCTAACTTGTGTATTGCAGAGAGGTGAGAGAATGACTGCAGATGAAGTCAATGCCATTACTAAATTGGCTGATGTAAACAGTGGGGGCAAACTTGACTACAAAAAGGTACAGTAAAAAAGTCAATGCTGTATTGGTCTCAGAATATGGCAATTAAGTTATCAAATTCAGTAGATACTTTCTAATCCATACTAATAGGTCCAGTGGTGATGTCTGCAGATTACCAAGTGCTGGAGCAGAGCTGGTGATATCAGTTCTCCAAGTTTAATATGGGATCTTGGCTTCCCTGGGTAAAAATCTTTAAACTGGGGGTATCAAACTCATCCCTCCTTGTAGGTCAGTTTTGAACTGTGGGGCTCCTTGAAAGCTAGATATGGACAGAGTGGCAGTGGCACAGCATGTGGGTTAATTCAGCTATTGCTTGTCCACTACCACTCTCTCAGATTTTAGTTGTGGGTCCTGCCTCTGCCCCCACTTGCCCTGCCACCAAATTCCTGGACTCTTGGAGCCCCATGGACCAGATTCAGCCTGCAGACCATACGCTTAAAACCCCTACTTTAAATACATGTCATTTGCTACTCATGAATTTCACTGTATTCATGGGCACAACCTGGCACCATAGAGAGAGAGCAGTGGCCTGGCATAGGTGACAGTTTACTGCAGCTTTGGATGTTCGGTAGGGATTAACACTAATATGCCTTTTAGTCCATCTTATAAATATTTTCTTGAACATTTTGGAGTTTCTTTTGTGAAAGAGACTATTGCAGGTCTCCAACATCTGTTTTCAACATGCAGTGTCTCTTTAGTGCTATGTTATTTCAAGCTGAACCTCTAAACAACAACTAAACAACCCTCTATTAAAAATTAGACATAAAAAGAGTCCCCAGATGTCTAAAAGATAATATAAATTGCCTCATGGGATGGAATTCATGCTTCATACACATTTAATAGCGTGACCTCCACACTGAATCATGGCTCCTTTTTCCTGTGTCACTTGAGAGTGGTCAGTCTGATTCATGAAAATAAAATGAGTATTGAACCTCAAGAGAAAACAGCTTCCATATATTGATCTACTCCTCCTTTACTAATGTGCATTTCTTCTCTTAAAATGATGTTTCACTTAATGGATTACTCTTCGTTCTCTAGTTTTGTAACTTATATATGGCAACCAATGAGCAGTGTTGCAAAACTGCACTTGAGAAGCTGGAAGTCGACACTAGAGTGATGCGTCAGCAGTTTGGAAGTCAAGTTGAAATTTCCACTGAAGGGGCCACCTCACCAATATCAAAGCCATCACCAAGAACTACAAGGAAAAGTGATCACAAGGCAACACCAAAAAGAGGTATTTACTGTTCAAACAGGGAGGCTCTGTTTCAAGAGTCAGGGCCTCTTTCCTCCAGAACACTAGACAATTGAGTATTTTTTATGTTTCTTATACCAGTCAACATTTAGTCAACTAATAATCATTTCTACTGTAGCCGTCACAGAAAAGTCCCAGTAGGATTTCTGAGCCTCTTGCTCAAATAGATAAGAGAGACAGTCAAAGTCTAAAACTATCAAATTTTCCTTAAGACTAAAATCAGTTGACTCTTGTGTGACAAAATCCACAGGGAAGAGAGAAAAATGGATGTACAGATATTGTAGCATTTCAGACTATTTATTTCTTTCCTTTGTTGATCAGAGGTGAGCCTAAAACATTTATCAGCAGAAAAAGCCAGTCTATTAGCTTTCATTTATAAACGCTCCTGTTTAGCAAGGTGTTTAAGCACAAAAGTAGTCATTGATTTCAGTGGGACTCACATGCTCAAAGTTACACAGATGTTCTAGGACCTTACTGAATGGGGAAAATATTTTAGGCTAAAAGCCTTTACTAGCATGAGATGAAATATATAAGTTTACACACAAAGTGCAGGAGTTACACTGATTGCCTACATTCGAACAAATAATGCTGAAGTTGAAAAAAATGCACAGAAATGCAACAAAAAAGAGGAATTGAAGTCAGGGATTGTGTAGTTTGGCCAAGTGTAAAGGAAATTTGCTGTGGCCATGGCCACATGAGAAGAGTTGATATAAGACAGGATGCTTGAGGCATTGGAATAACTGCCTTGGCACAACTGTGCACAAATGAACACATGTCCTAGGAAGAAGATACACTGGATTAGAATTGGAGTACAACTCCCTGGGTTGGGCAGATTTACCTTGATTCAAGTAAATGCATCACATGGTCACAACTCTGTCTTGTTCCTGCCAGTTACTGTTTTCCCAAGATAGCCCATTTATGTGTTTATGACCTGACAGGCATGTAGGTAGGGCTCACTAACCCATACTCATGTGATTTAAATAATCATAAGGAAAAACTAGTTACATTTACTGAGGATTTGTCATTTAGCTTTTGTCTGTTTCTATAAATAACTGCAAATAAATGCCACTTTAATATGATGAAGCAATGGAAAGAGCTCATACAAATAAATGTCTTCATTATAGGTGAAAACAGAACCTCTTCAAGACCCTCATCAGCTCAAGGTTGTAAAGCATCCATTTCTTCCACTATGAGCATGGGTGCCAGCAGTAACAAAAATTCAAAGCTAATTGAGCCAAACACAGTAAAGGTATCTGCAAGTCAGTCCTATTTAAGTTATGCTGTTTTCCTTTAGGCACACATGTTGTTGCATTTTAAGTACAGAACAGTGTTTCTCTGCTCTGTAGCTTATGTTTTATTAATAGTTTGTCAAGGGCAGCAATGCACTGCAGGGAGCTTTCTGGATACAAAATATTAACGTTTTTATATATTGTTGGTTTTGCTGACATCTAGTTATTGAAAATAATTTTTCAGGTGTGAAGGTTTAATAGAACAAAGTGTGCTCTTTATAAATGAAACCGCTGTTGGATAAAACGCTTAATGACTTTTTGAGAAATTTAAAATTGAATAATTTATTGGGTTGGTGAGAACTTTAAATGCTTAAGTAGTCTGAAAGACTGCATATCATAAACCTTTATAAGAAAGGTAATTGGAAATAAATAACAGATCTCCAATCATATTCAGTTTGGTGGACGTTAATTTGCAAATATACTATAGCCTAAAAATATTGATTTTTATTTCAGCTAATATGTTCTATCAGTATTTTCTTTTAAATAAATCACTCATTCAATATAAATTCCTGTGGGAGAAAGACAACAAAGTCACTTCGCTAGGTCAATATTTGTAGAGTGTTAATATTGATCTTTTTCCTTTGTTTTCCCTTTCTTGACTCAGCCTTTACTAGTTTTCTTTCAACAGAAAATAATAGCTATAGAACTATAAAACATTAACTGGAAACTGCTAGGATACATTAAAAATGTGTGCCTTGAGACCTCTGTGTAGAAGGGAAAAAATGGTTATGACCACATAGTATAACTGCTGCTAGAAAACTGAACTGATTGTTCTCATGAGTTACATTTTTGTTTCAAATAACAACTCTGTATTTGTTATTGAACTCTGAAGTCCTTTATATCTTTAACATTGCTGGACAGTGACATTTGTTCTATATTAAAATTTAAAAACATGATCTCCAAGGATTTTTTTCTGTCTGTTTAGGTATCTGTACCCCCATGCAATTTAACCTGCAATTTCAGCTTGTTCAAACATGATATGTAGGGTGCGGAGCCATATAATTTTCCAATATTGGATCCCTCTTTCTTTTCACAAGCAAATAAAGTGCTAATAAAAAGCAGCTGTGGAATCTGAGTAACGATTAGCAACCTATTAAAATTAAACTGAATGTTATTCAATATAAGTAAATAGAAGTCAATAGAAACACACATTTTTACACCCTTGCGAGGGAGAAGCCTGATCTTAAACTCCATTGAAACCAATGGACAGATGCTGAATGATTTCATTAGGCTTTGGATCAGGACCTAACAGCCCGAAAATTGTTCTCATTCATTTTATATTAACATCCTTCTCCTTTGTTCAGCTATTTTCTGGAATAATAAGAAAGTGTGTTTTGGTGGAGTTGGACCAAAACCAATGTTACTACTCTGAAAGATAAATATAATGGAAGATGGCAGTCAGGACACTGATATTTTTTTTAATAAAATAAGATTGTCAAGGGCACGTATAAAGTATTGTACCCTTAGCATCATGCAGCCCTTCCTCCTGTTTTCCTTTATTCAGCGAGATGTGCAGACTAAACAGGAAAAAGCCAGGTTCGGGTTTTTAGGGGCCTATCAGACTGTTTTATGGAACATTACCGACTGTCTGTGTTCTCAGAAAATTTTTAAAGGAACCTTCCTCCCCCTCTCTCTGCCCTCCCCAAGCGCATCCCTATGTAGATTGTATTCTTTGCAGCTGCCATTCAGGAAAGGTTAAAAACAATGTGGAATCGGGTATTGAGTTTATCCAGGTCAAAACGGTGAGTAAAATATTAAGTATTTTTAAACATAATGAGGGCTGAAGGTGATCATTTGGGTCATTGACATTTGGAGATCTATGTTCTATTCCCAGTTCTGTCACAAATTCCCTTCATGACCTACGGGATGCTCCCTGTGTGATGTTATGACCTTCAACTCTCTTTGCCTTAATTTCCTACCTACAGGGATAATAGAAAAAATAAGTATAAGATGTTTCTCTAATTCACAGGAGTATTGTGTAGCTAGTCATATTTTATATTAAGGTTTCATTTCATTCTTCACATCTGTAAAGAGGCCTCTTGTGTGGAATGAGTAAGAATCTATTGTGCAGGAGAATGGGATAGAATATGTTTTGACAGAACAGGGTTGGGAAATGGGTTGAAGATATGGTTTAAAAAGTATAAGCCATCCCTTCCAGTAGAGATACCTCTTTATATCATTCCCTATCATTTAGAACTAGATGCCAATAGATTAGATTTCTGTAAAATTGGGTACTTGACAGTAGCCAGTGTTGAAAGTAGTAACTGCTTTTGTAATGTTTTCTTGCTGATTAAACCATTTTGATTTTCCAAGTTACCTACAACTTGTATATTTTGTGCTTTTCCATTACACATTTACAGTAAAAAAAAGTATAGCTTTTAAATAGAAATAGGAAGACACTTTTAAGTTTTAATAATCCACATGTGTTGCAATGTAGTACAGGTAAGTTAGAGAGTATAGCACCACCTTATGCTCTGTGTAAGCATAACAAGCCAGTGTTTTATTTCTTAAGGGTTTTCAAACTTTTTTCATATTGTCCACATCTAAGTAGAGCATTTATCTTGTAAGCCAATTTCTCATTGCATACTGGGATTATATGGCATCCTCATGTTAATTAACATCAATTGCATTCATAGATTACTAATGATAGGAAAGTATGAGTTGTTTTTCATATAATATCATAGCTGGAACAAGGAGCAGCAAATTAAGCCATTTTCCACAGACTATATGTGGTCAACACACTGCAGTGTAGGAACCTGTTCATAATAAGAAAGGTAGGACATAATTTTTTTTTGATTCCTATGAAAATGTCTTATTCATGAAAATTCTTACTGTAGCTTTTTTGAAAAGATACAGTACATTTGGGACACCGTTTAAACAATTTACTGGACATTTCTACAGCTCTTAAATTCCATTCAGACTATTTCATCAGCTGAACTTTTAACTTTCATCTCACTTGAAATGTTGATCATTCATTTTTCAAACATTTCTATAAGCTATTAAGCATAGAGACTAAATGAGCTAACCCTAGGGTATTGTTCAACTTCCTCAGCTGTGTCAGATCTCAAGGACAAATCTTAACTTGCTGAATGGGGATGTCAGGGTAAATAGGAATTATGCAGGTACTGTAACAACTAATTTACCCAGGGAGGATATTCTCATTGGTAATGATACAGTGTGCTAATGTGTATATTCTACTTTTATCAGTATTTTATGTTAACTCTAATCTAAGCATTCATTATAAATATAGGCCCTAACTTCTTTTATAGTTTGGAACTCCAACTTCCAATCAGCTTCATCCCCATCACTATTAAAGCCTGGTAGCTTTCACCACTCGGTTAATCTGCCTGCCAGTTGTTGGGGTTTTTTTGTGACTGGGTCTCACTTCCACATCACATTTAGGAGGGACACTGTAAGGTGAATAGCTTGTTTAGTAATGGACAGTGGAAATAGTTTAACTCATGTTTAGGAGGCTTCTTTGAGATCAAAAAGGCAAGTAAATCAATATTGCTGTGTTCCTCTTAAAATGATTTTAAAACAAGCAGAATTATTGCACATTGCTTAAGTTCTTACACTATAAAAGGCCAGGGAAGGAGGAGGCACTGGGGTTGGATATCCAGATCCCTCAGGCAGCTTTAGAAGTCTTAGCCCAAATAGTGTTACACTGTAGTTGGAGGAGGTCTGTTTAAGAATTTTAAAACATTGAATTTGTTATCAGCTTTTCTTGAGGGCTAAGAAACCAATGAGCTCCTCGGATAACACAATTACACAAGCCCCGAGTGCAGGGTTTAACATCCTGCATCTTCGTACGGTTATGAATGGTACAGTCCCATTCTCTCTTGCCCAATACCCTGGTAAGTCATTAATATCAGTGCAGTGAGCATAAAATGCTACCAAATCAGAATGACTGCATTTTATACCTACACGTCACTGATATAATCAATTACATGGGTTCAGTGCAACAGATAATCTCTTCCTGATCCCAGCAGTGATTATAGAACAAAGAGAAGGCAGGGGAAATTTGCACCTTATAGGCTAACCAAACTAGATGGGTATATATAGCGCAAGCTTTTGCAAAGTGTAGCTCACTTCATCAAATACTGTGAAAGGACAAGGAGAAAACAGAGTACAAGAAGGAGAGAGACACTGGAATACTACAGACAAGGTTGCAGGGTGCAGGGAATAGCTAACAATATCTCTATAGAATAGAATAAGGGCCAAAAAAAATTGCTAGCTCTTAGAACACAAATAAAGAAGCAGTGTATCAAGGGAGAAGAAACTATTGGAACATCTTGTTCCTGTGAATATTCCTAGCAAGAAGCGTTGTATTAATATAGCTCCCCTTACTGTTTTTGAAAACAGAAGGTCTACAAAAGACTACACCATAAAGATTCCAGCTGCTTGGCTCAGCTCCGGATCAGTGTCTTCTATCGCTAGGAAAATAACCTTTCCTTCCTCAAGGTTGGAAGTATCCAAGGAAAACACTTTCTGTTTTACCAAATGATAGCTAGAGGTGAAATTTGAGGCATGCCATTTCAAAATGCCAAGCATGTAATTGTTTCTGTTTCTTGACAGAAGCTTCATGGCTTCTCTAGAAACCTGAACACAAATAGTTCAGTCTTTTGTTGTTGTGGCTGTTTTCCAGTGATTTCAGCAATGGCTAAAAAGAATTACCTGCTGTACAAAGAAGGCAAATGCATTCTAATTTTAGCCAAAATAGAGCAAGTCTTGAACAAAGAGTATGAATCATGTCAACTTGCGTTAGATCTTGGAAGCTATGTCTCATGATCCTAATTTTAAGAAGTATTTTAGTCCAATAACTTCAGTATGACTTTTGCACATGTTTAAACGCTTTGCTGGACTGAGATAGACTTAAGTCCATGTTTAAGTGCTTTCCTGAATTGGGCCTCAAAGAGTAATGTTGGGGAATAATTCATAGATTCATAGACATTAGGGCTGGAAGGGACCTCGGAAGATCATTGAGTTCAGCCCCCTACCCCAGGGGCAGGAAGTCAGTAGGGGTCATAGGATCCCAGCAAGATAAACATCCAATTATCTCTTGAAGGTGTTCAAGGTAGGTGCTTGAGCCACCTCCGGCAGCAGTGTATTCCAATTAATTATGAACTTAATTGATAAATGTATATGACTTGTCTGAAAAAAAATATTTCTAGTTTTTCAGACAGTTCATTTTATTCCCTGATTGCATGACCTTCTGGAACTAATAACAGCGCTATTTTCAAACATTTGAATGTTAAATGTTCAGTTTGACTTTTACACAGTTTGGAAAACTTTTGTTCTCGCTTTGGTTAATTGTGCCATTCTAAATTTACTTTCAACAGATATTTGAGCATCTGAAAGTAATATTTGTATTTCTTTACCAGTGTGGATTTGCTGTGATATCTGCAAAAACTGACTACAAACTGTCTCAGGGAATTCATTAAAAAATTCAGAGGCATATCTGCAGAAAATGATATGCCATATTCACCCAGCGGTAGCTCAGACCATCAAAGCAATTTACTTAAGAGGAGGATTAAAGACCCAGATGAACTTATATTATGCATCTTTTCATTTGGATTACAGGAATGGCAATGTGCACAGTCCAAAGGATGTTTTTACTTAGAGGAAGATGGTACAATCATTAGTCATAGATATAGGATGCACTTACTTCAGAAATCAACAGTGTGTATCACCATTAAACCTTTAAGTCTTAGCCAGTTAGAAGGTAAGCGTATTTATATTTTTGGAGAATCAGAAGGTGGGTCTGGGAGGCACACGAATACTCTCATAATTTTGCAAAATACTCTGTGATGGTCAAATCTAATGCATTAAAGATCTGATACTTCCATTACTGTAATATGGGCATCAGGGCTTGATGGTCATAATCTACCCTTAGCTTTACCAGTAGTGTTATTACTGAGCAAAGTGGATTGCAGTATGTAATGATATAGGTGGTATATGGTCATGGGTGGCTTAAATACTTCACCCTTTGCAAGTTAGGTCCCTGGCTTTCTACACAGGGTCATATTTAATCAATAAGGGAATGATTAAAAGCACCCTGAAGTCATTAGACAGGTCCCTGTTAAATGTGTAGATCAGGCCCTGAAGTTGTAGGCTTTTCTGATCTGTTTCTGTTGCCTGTGTCTTTGTGTTCATGCCATGCACATATATTGTATGGTCATTTAAAAGGACTATCTCAACTTAAAAATTATAGCCAAGATTCCATAAGTAGCTAATGGTTTTAGGTGCCTCGATTTTTGGTTGTTTAACTTGAGGTACTTAAAAGGAGCCTCGTTTGCATAAAGAGCCGAGTATTTGTAAACAAACACATCTCTTTACCCATGATGTTAAAAGCATATTAGAGAATTAAAAATGAAGGAAAATAATAAATGGGCACCATTGACTCGGAGTGTAGCCAGTTTCAAGCTACCCCTACTATCTATTATCCCAGTAGTTGAATGGCTACGGCATTTACCCAGGAAGTGGCTGACCCAGATTCTCGTTCCCTCTACCTCGGTGGGGGGGGATTTGAACCCACATCTACCACTTCCCAGTAAAGTGCCTTAACTGTTAGGCAATGACCTAGGCATGGCCAAAAGTTCCTTCTTTTGAAGCTGGTCCATGAAGGAGCCAAGAGGAGAAGGTGCATAGAGCCAGAAGAAGAGCAAGCCAGAGCAAAACTGCCTCTTTGGCCAAGTGAAGAGGTTACTGTGGTAGAAGGGCAAGGGCCCTGGACAGTGCTCCATCTGTCTCCAGCTATCTATCCATTTGATCCAATGACTATTAAATGCAAAATGCAGAAACATCACACATCTTCACTGACTTTTTATGGTATATAAAATATAGGTAATTATTGCCACGTGTATCAATTTGCCAAGATTTTTCCCCTCTATTAACAAAATAAAAGCTAGCTTTCCACTCAAGAAGACTGCTGTCTTATCTTTAATTGTAATCCTTAATTGTTTTAAGAGCCTCCACAAAAAGAAAAGTAATAAAAAAATGTTATTGTGTTTATGGCTAAAAGCTAAAGTAACTTTCCTAACTGCCAAACACTTGGCATTTGAGACTTTTTAATGATAATTACACTGTATCAAAAATTAACAGCAAATTCTCTGTTCCAATCTGCTTGGGGAATCCCAGTAGCATATTATGAACTCATTCTGCCTGCAGCTTTTCCATTGAGGTCAACCAGGCTTTTTTACAGGGAATAGGCACAGAATGTGCCACACTTACTTGCATGCCACATACACCCTTCCCCCCCTGCCAAAAAAAAAAATTAGCCCTCCAATATTGGGGTGGGTGCTGTCAGTGGGAAAACTGATTTCTGCATTGAAAGAGGAGCATAGAGACACTGTAATGGCTGCCAGTGCTGACCTTCTCTGACTTGTCTCCAGCCAGCCTTCAGCAGAGGTGGAGTCCAGTTTTAATCTGCTCACAGCTGCTGCTGAATTGTCAGCAGCTTTTGGCTAAGCAGCAGCTGAGAGAGGATTTGGCAGCAGCTGTGAGAGCCTTAAAATGAGCTTTTACCTGACACAGCCAGTGAGCTATTACAGGTGGTTAGCTTTCAGCCATGACTCTGCAAACGTATTTTTGTCTTCATTCTGTTTTCCCAAAACAAGGTACGTGCCTTGTGTGGGGTTGTGCGATATGCAGGAAAATATGACATAATAGAAAGATCTTCCACATGAATCTAAGAGGAACATTTTGCCCAAAAGCTATGCAATTATTAAACGTGCAGTTTGACATTGTTTTTGTTTGTTTGTAGGAAAGCCTTCCCCGTGGTTATCAGTGGACACAGCTTTGTATGTTCTGAAGGAAAATGAAAGCCAAGAAAACCTACAGCTTGTGAGCTTGACTGATCAGCAAAATAAAGAGGCCAGACATTAATCTTATGTTGATTTTTATCTTGTACTGATTTTCAAAAATCTGCATTTTTTGCAGGGGATAGGCACAGAATGTGCCACATTTACTTACATGTCATAGTCAGTACAGCACAGCTAAGGCTCTGTAGTTTTGGGAGGGGATAATGCCAGGATACGAAGCCAAAGTTACAAGGGTATCTGTGGAGACAGATTTTGAACTGTGCTCTCAGGAGTCTAAACCCTATGGCTTAGGCACAAGGCAGGTTCATCCCTTGCTTCTTTTTTTACTTGTGAACCTTTAGCAGGATTTCTGCAAAATCTTTGCTGCAAATTTGAGCCAGGTTGATGGATCGCGGCCTATGGCCAATCTATATTCACGGGTGGAAAAAGTAAAAAATTTAGTAGGTTTTGTCAACCTGCCTCATTTGGCAAGAAGTTATTTGTTTTAAAGTTTAAAAAGTGTTAAAATCAGTACACTTGGGGGGGGGGTGTAGAAATGTCATTAAATGGGACCTAGCCTTGAAAGTCCTGAAGCGGGCTTCTGGTCCCATACAGCTTGCTAACTATTGCTGTGACTAGCAAGTCTGCCAGTGTTTGTCATCATGAAGGCCTCTCATAGGGGTTTGTCTTCTGTAAGGAAAGTAAGTGTGAGGTCTCTAATAGGTTGTAAGTACCTTCAGCTAATTTGGAAGTAGGGTTCAGATAAATAATGCTCACAGACTTTTCCATCTTCCTTCAAGAGTAGATGTATGGGTGGAAAGGAGAACTTGGATCTGGATTTTACTGGCTACTTCCATTCACAACTGGCTGTAGGCTCAAGAAGGTAAAGAAGCAAATAACTAGAGAAGTGAAACTGGTTTATAGAGGGGAAGATGGAGAGTTGGGCCTTACTAAAGAGTTCAGGTGAGTTATATTTGTAGTTTAGCACCCTAACTATTGTAAGATCAATGCTTTGAATTTTCTTTATGTTGCTAATAGTTTTATGCTACTGAAACAAATTCTGTCTGGGAGTCCTAGTTTTGTGAAAGCATTTACAAATATTGAATAATTCTCAGCAACAGAATGAGGAAAGAACTGATGCATTTAAAAATTGTTTTGCTGCCTTCTTTCAGAACAGCTTTATCAAATATATTTGAAATGATTGATTTAGATGGAAATGGCCTACTGAGCTTGGATGAATATAATTTCTTTGAACTAAGGACTAGTGGTGAGAAATGTGATGAGGAAGCCTGGGCTATATGCAAGGGTAAGCTTTGTTACTCCTTTTAATTTACTAGAAATAAACTCATAATGAGAAGTTATCTAAGTTCATATATTGATGACAGTACCTGCATACAAATATACACGAACAATCGTTACCTAGTAGTCCATACCAAAATGTGTGTATACAATGGTAAATAATGTTCACCTGCGCCATTCTTCTCTATCCACCTTCTTTTCCCTCTTTATATTCCTTTTCTTTTCTTTTTTTTCTATCTTTCCCTCCACTCTCCCATCACCTAGCTCTTCTGCTTTCCAGCATATTTGCCATGTCCGTGGTTAGTAGTCCAAGTGGAAAACAAAGGCTTCCCATGGCTGTTGCTAAAGCTGCAGACATTTTATGGTGGGATGTGTTCTGACCATAGAACTGATTGTGAAGAACTTTAAACTGCTAATTATAACTCTTGTCCTGAATTCCTCACTGGTGATTACTCCTTGCCTCTGGTGACTTGAAGATGATAATGCCTTCCTACCTTACTACCCGTTTGTGTGGGTTAGATAATCAATGTGTATAACGTGCTTGGAACATTAAAACCTTTAATTAAATGGTTATTATTAAGATTCAACCATTTGTCAGCTGGAGCATTGTTTCTGCTAATACAGACATTTCTATTGGAAAATATTTGCAAGATGTTTCATAAACAGTTGACAAAATTGTCCTTATTGTTCTGTTCACAGATATAAATGGGACTTCTACAATAGGGCCTGAAAGGCAGCAAGGCATTTAAGACTGCCTTTGATCTGTGGGGGCTGTTAATGTCACCAGGAGTCCTATCACCTCTCAAGGGCAGTATTTGGTCTTAAATGCCAGTTTTCAGGGGAAATTGGCACTGTTTAATATTCAGAATTGGTTATGCTGTACTTTCAAGCCCTCAGGATAAATAGGTCTGCTTCGTAAGGGAACAAGAAGAATAAATCCATTCATGGATGTACAGTGCTCTGATATTACAATGATGGGGACTGTATGAGTGACTATGTGCCTAAACAAATCAAATCTAGTTGTCAGGAGCTGTCTATAGCCTCTTCTGTGAACATTGTAGGCCATGACACATTGCTTAAGTGGAACAAAAATATGTCTCCTAGGTTCTGTGAAATATTTCTCTCTAAAATACTAAATATTTCTTTCTAAAAAAATATGTTGAAGCATTTCCTAAATTCTAGAGACCTCATATAGAGACTGTTTTCTTTTCATCAGCTTCTCTCCTCTTTTATGCCTCTAGATTCTGTTACCCATTTTTATTCCTTTATTTATATTTGTGTGCGTCTTGGAAAGGGGAAAAGGGATAGGAGCGTGGTAGATGGATTACTAGGTCATTAATCAGTGGAAGGGTCCAGACAAATATCATAAATCGTGAGAGCAAAGTTCAAGCAGTTTATAATAGCATCTGATCCATTTGATAGATTTATTAAATTGGTAATCCATTTTAATAATGTATAGTGAAGATTTACCTTTGTTGCAATGAGAAGAGCATTTGTAAAATACACTGACATAAAAACATTTCAATTAGGTGTTTGCAGACACTAGAGCAGTTGACCCACCATATTCTATCAAGAATGATGCATTTTGCCATTTGGGATTTTTAAAAACTAAGTAACCAATTTCTGTATCAAATCCCCAAAGTTACTAAGGGAACTGCTTTACCAAGCTTTCACTTCCTGTTCCTGATATTCCCCTTTCCTTTAGTTCTTACCCTACCACAACTACTTCCAGGAAAAGATATCTTCTAAGCTACACTTACACTTTGACATTCCTCTTTCTCTTAAGCTGTACAAAAATCCAGTTGCTCCTTCTTCCCTAAAAACAAAGGAGAATCCCTGTAAACAGAACATTTTAAGTTCAAGCGTATTCTTTACCATTTTAGTATTTTACACAGTTTTGGAAGACCCATGGCTGTAAGACTTATGACCAAGTCTTGCAGTCCTTACTGAAATCAGGGGGAGCATTGTTTAGGAAAGATTAGAGGGACCATAACAGGATTGTTTCCATTTAAGAGTTACATTATTTTTCTTTTTAAACAGAGAATTTTGACACAAAGAAGAATGAGCTAACAAGGCAGGGCTTTATGGATCTGAATCTCATGGAGGCTAATGACCGTGAAGGGGATCCCAGTGACCTTTGGGTTACTTTATTGTCCCTGGGCTTCAATAAAGCATTGGAAATGACAGAGGTAAGTAGTTGTGTAACACAACTGCTTCACATGCAGTTTGTTGCATGTATTTAATTGCAGTGCTATTTCTGTCCTTTATAAACTGATGTTGGTAGGCCATTGACCGAGCTCCAAATATAGTTAATATACATTTTCCGCTATGAATTTCAGAGCTGGCGCTTCACCTCCAGGGCTAACGCCGTCAGGAAGGACTACACTAGTATGGAGGCAGGTAGAAATCTGATAAACTGTAGTGTCACTGCTTTGTGTTCAGAGAGAGAACTGGACTGCTGCCTCACAGAGAAAGGGTACCAATATTTTGTAAAGCCTACAGAAGAAGTCACAAATCATGCTTTTTTGAAGGACTTGAGGCATGTTGCTGGAGAGAAACAGTTCTTGATGATCTGACATATGAGAAAAGGCATAAAATTGTGGCCTGTTATATATCTGTAAGAATAAAGTGCTTGCACTGCCTAAACTATGGATCTGGTTTCCAGAGTGGCCCAGATAACTAGGACAGGATCCCTGGCTTAGCTACAAAGCAGTTGTGTTGCTGTAAAGAACATCCCAGAAAAACAAATAGCAGCCACTTGTCTTCATTTCAAAATTGGATTGGAGGCTGAGAGCTGCAAAATGATGCATCAGAGATGGAAGTGGGAGACAATGGTAGGGTTTTTGCAGTAAGACCAGGAGAGCCTGTCCAAAAGGAGAAAAATAATAATATGCATCATCCAGCTAATGTATTTCAGGGCTTTCCAACTTCAAGCCCTTCAGGGGCCACACATGGCATGAGCCATACCAGTTTAGCCACAGGGCCCCATTGCCCACTGCACCACATGCCCATGGAGGCAACCCTACCATTGCACCATGTAGGCATAATCCCCCACCCTACTGATGCTCAGCTCCCCACACAGCTTGCCACACTGTGGGGTGGAGGCAGGAAGCACCAGTCGTTGGAGGGGGAGGGAGCCCACAAACTGGCTGCTGTTGCACCCAGAGCAGAAGAGCAAGTGGCAGCAGGCAGGAGCCTGGGGGCTGCAATTTAATCGCTTGCATCCTATATGTGGCCCATGGGCAATTAGTTTGACAGTCCCAATGTATTTTATTTACATTGTTCAACAAACATAATCTCCAGACATAATTTTCTGCCTTTACTCCTGCCCCTTGCTGTTGTGTCCAAGTATCTTCCACATAAACTTAATACCAATACCTGGAAGCAGGGACACTCGCACCCATATGCGCACACTGCTTCCTTGGTAAAATTAGCAACTCCTTTCCCTTGCATCCATGTGTCTGTGGGCTTTTTGAAAAAAAATAGTATCGGTGTTGGCCTTAATCAATGGCTCACATTTCTTTACTACTCCATAAACAGAAGGCAAAATCCTGTAAAGAAATAAAACTCTCCCCTTCGTGTGTAGAAAATTCTAAAAGAAGACTGGAAAGGCTTTGCCTATTCCTGCAATATCTTTTTCAGTATTTACTTGCTGTTAAACCAAATCAGTTCAGGGGCCTAACATAGTATAATCATTACGTAAACCGGGGGGGTCAGAATCCTCAGACCCTGTGGGCTAGATGGCTGGTGCAGGGCCAGTCCACAGACCAGGTGAATTGTGCAAGATTGGCCCTGTGGGCTGAATCGGACCTGCAGACTGGCCCTGCATGCCCAATCCAGCATGCATGCTAGACCAGCTTGGTGTAGGTGCCTCATGTTGTGCTCATCCTGGACCAGCCCACTGTAGGTGCTTCATACAGAGTGCATCTCAGACTGGCCCTACATGGGCACTGCATGCAGCATGCATGCCAGACTAGCCCCTTATGAGTGTCACATGTTGTGCACATCCCAGACTGGCCCCACACAACATATTAGCACACTTGCGTAATCTAGCATGCGGCATGTGGGTCAACAAATCCATGAGCAGCACTGCAGACTAGAAGTTAGGGCTCTGTGGTAGGAGTGCATCAATAAAGGATTTCTTGGCTGATACCAATAGCCAATTAATAAATCGACCATATTGGCTGATGCTGATCTGGTAATCCATATTTAGTAATAATGCAAGGCATTGAAACTGCTGACATAAATAAACCCCTTTTTTTTTTGTTTTTGGCATGTTCCAGCAGCGTCCTAAATTTCATGTATCAGCATCCCTGCACTTAAAAATGGTGGGGTTGCTTGAACTAAAGCTTTTAAAACACAGGGATGCTATTACATGAGGCACTTTTATTAGAGTGGCTGTTGGAGCCACCCCCAGAGCATGTATCAAAGTGTCCATGCTGGTTGCAGCAGGTGGGGCTGGTCTAGCAGTGCCTGCGACACTGTGTGGAACCCTTCAGCCCCTGCTCTTCCGCACGATGCCCTTGAACCCAAGCCCGGGGCTGCCCAGCAGCGCTGAGGGGGAAGGTGTGAGCCGTCCTGGCTGCCCGGGCTTGGGTGGTCTAGCTTACTGGGGAGGGATCCCAGGCATCCAGGGGCCCCGATCCCACAGGCAAGAGCGAGCCCGGGTATCCAGGTCCCTGGCCAGAAAGTATAATTATCGGTAAACATTATTGGCTACAGTGGCCAAAAAAGCCGATAGCTGATAATGTCTTTTCCCTTTTATCAGTGCCGATCTGATAGGCAACCAATATATTGGTACACCTCTACTCCATAGGCCTGACCCAGCCCATGAGCTATATTTTTTACATCTATAGTATAAGCCATTCTGGGCATATGAAATAAAAATTGGACTCTAACCCTTCAGTATTGGAGTTCTAATACTTTGGGAGGCTAGAATTGGCAGCTCATGTTAGCACCTGATTAAGAGCAATTAGCTGCAACCATTTCTTGTTGAGTTGCAGTTCACCTCTCCTTTTCCTAGAAATACGCTGAACGGAGCTGGAAGTCGGGGTGCGGGGGGGGGTCTGTCTTTCTGCAGTGTGACGCTAGATGGAGCTGTTCTCTGACAAAGAACAGATTGTTCTGAAGTCTTTGGACTATGGCATGGAGAGTCTCTGCCTTGCGCTAGCTGTGGGTTTTGGCTACAGCTTTCAGTTCGTGAAGGATAAGCACAAGCTGTATATTGTGTACTTCAAACATTTGCTTCAATAGAACATATAATTTAACCCTACAACTCCTGGATTATAAAGGGTTTATGGGCATCTTTCAGTAGCGGAGACTGTAAAATGAAGATGGAAATGAAAATATATTGGTAATAATAGGCAGTGCTAAATCCCATCTCCTTGTTGCTTCATATGCTACTCTGAAACAATAAAATGGAAGAACAAAGGTCATTTCTTATTACAACATTTCAAATATTTTAAATCCTGAGAGGCACAGTGGTTTTTTCCTGCTACCCTAGTACTTTTTGTAGTGTTGGTGTCCCACATCAATTGTGAATGGATTCCCAATCAGTGACATTTTGGAACAGGCTATGTCTGGCTGCACCCTGATAGATTTACACTGTAGTGCATTAAGGTTGTCCCAGATGAACTGTTACTAGGATTATTGTGCTCGAGTGATTTGTACTAATCTCTGAATTACCTCAAAACAGGAGAGCTCACAGGTTTCGTGGGTTTTTTTTTTTTATATATATTCAGTGGGGTGCATAAACTTGGACAATTCTGCCTCAGAGTATCTATGGAAATATTTAGGAGCTGTAGGTTAAACTCTAAAGAATAAAAATAGGCAGCAATAGTTAAATATTATTGCATTTGTCTCTCATACTAGGCATGCCCCTTTGTCATTGACATCTATGCAGAAAAATGCAAGCCAAGAATTAAACCTGTTCATCTAGAGGCAAACAGCGGGCAGCTTAACAAAGCCATCTGCAAATCTGTTGTTAACCAAGGAGAAGCCAAAGTAATGGATGGATGTGAAAGTGTTATTGTCCACACCTACAGAAGTGAGGCCCGGATCACTTCTGTTATTGAAAATATGGTACTGTGCAAGAAGTCTCTTATGCATGTTACACACAAGTTTTTGGTGTCAATATTCATCATGTTGCTCTTTACCTGTCCTTGTGAAGCTTTTGTAAATATTGTATAGAAAATAAAAAACACCTTTTATTATGTTCTGACCTGAAGGCCACTGAAAACAGCAGGATTTTTTTTCCCGTTTCTAATGGACACTGGATAAGGGTCTATTAGACAGGTGCATCTCTAGCAGGGCCAAGGAGGTGATCCTCCCCCTCTATACGACACTGGTCAGGCCGCAGCTGGAGTACTGCGTCCAGTTCTGGGCGCCACGCTTCAGGAGGGATGTGGACAACATGGAGAGGGTCCAGAGGAGGCCACTCGCATGATCCAGGGACAACAGGGCAGACCCTGCAATGAGAGACTGTGGGACCTGAAGCTGTTCAGCCTTCACAAGAGAAGGCTGAGAGGGGACCTGGTGACCATCTATAAACTCACTAGGGTGGACCAGAAGGGTTTGGGAGAGACCTTGTTGCCCCTAGCGCCCCCTGGCATAACAAGGAATAA